AACACCCACTTAATCTCACCTACGACAACCACTTCTTTATAAGTGTCTTTTAATACTCTTATGGCGGCGGGCAGGTCCGGCCGGAGCTCACGTAACATGACCCTCTACGAGGATCGCGCGTGCCAAGTGTTCAAACGTCTAGTGAAACGTCGATCGCGTTTGACGCGTTTGACCTGGATCGACCCTCTGTGAGGATCGTGCGTGTCATATGATAATGCGTGGTACAAAATGCTCGTTCTGGAGACTTCCGCGGCTCACTTTTGAAGGAAGTCTCGCACAAAACGCTCGTTCTGGAGACTTCCGCGGCTCACTTTTGAAAGACGTCTCGCACAAAGCGCTTGTTCTGGAGACTTCCGCGGCTCACTTTTGAAGGAAGTCTGGCACAAAACGCTCGTTCTGGAGACTTCGCGGCTCACTTTCAGAGGAAGTCTCGTACGATACGCAGTCTCGTGCGAAACGCGCTCGCTCTCTCTCTCTCTCTGTCTCTCTCTCTCTAGACTTGCGCGGCTCACTTTTGAAGGAAGTCTCGTACAAAACGCTCGTTCTGCTCACTTTTGAAGGAAGTCTCGCGCAAAACGCTCCTTCTGGAGACTTCCGCGGCTCACTTTTGAAGGAAGTCTGGCACAAAACGCTCGTTCTGGAGACTTCCGCGGCTCACTTTTAGAGGAAGTCTCGTACGATAGCTCGTTCTGGAGACTTCCGCGGCTCCCCTTGGAAAGAAGTCTCGCGCGAAACGCGCTCGCTCTCTCTCTCTCTCTCTTTCTGTCTCTCTCTCTCTAGACTTGCGCGGCTCACTTTTGAAGGAAGTCTCGTACAAAACGCTCGTTCTGGAGACTTCCGCGGCTCACTTTTGAAGGAAGTCTCGTACGAAACACTCATTCTCACTAGCCAATGCTACCTTCGAAGCACTACCGAATGATGCGTATTCCAAAATGAGCCGCGAAATTGGTCTCACGCTGCAGTCCCGGAGAGTTTTCTTTTCGTCTGGGTTCCAAAATGAGCCAGGTTCCAAAATGAGCCGTTTCTAGGTTCCAAAATGAGCCGTGTACCCCTGCCAAGGTGAAACTAGAGCCGTTCCAAGAGGTTGATGTTTCAGGTCACTTAATTTTAGGTCGCAAACACTTCATCGAGAGGAGTCCATCGCATACTAAGGTCACATTTGACATGCGTACTTATGTGGATCAGGTGGTTGGGACATACTGCGAACTGACAGGGATCAGTCAACAGTCTCTCAAGAAGGTCACGACACCAAGCTTCCCTGAAAGCTCTATGACCGATCAGGAGCTGTCACAGACAGGTGAACTTAGTGGCTTGGCATCAAAAGTTCTCATGCGAGCGCTTTGGCTCTCACGGCTGGCAAGACCTGACATCAGCTTCATCGTTGGTCGTCTTACCACTATGGTGACCAGATGGTCGAGATTCGAGGACAGGCAATTGCATAGGTGCATTTGCTACCTTCATCACAGTCGGGACAAAGTCCTAGTCGGACATCTCGATCATGAGCATGAACATGAAATGCAATAGAGGTTTACACAGATAGCGATTTTGCTGCTTGCCCTCATACCGCCAAGAGCACTTCTGGCATCCTGATCGCCCTCAAAACAGGCCAATCGATGTATCCACTGCATTGGCGCAGCCGAAAACAGTCCAGCGTTGCAAGGAGCACGCCGGAAGCAGAACTCATAGCGATGTCGACGGCGATGTTCACCGAGGTGTTCAATGTTCAAACCATGTTGGAACACCTTATGCAGCGACAGGTGCCTGTAAACTATAGGCAGGACAACCAGGCTGTGGTGCAAATTTTGGGGACCGGATATTCCGCAAAATTGCGCCATGCACCACGGGTGCACCGAGTTAATGTAAGCTCTGTTCACGAGGTCCTCACTTCCGAACATGCCCATGCAGTTTGGTACACACAGACCACGGAGCAAATTGCAAATGGCCTAACGAAGGTGATCACTCCTGCCGAGTGGCCGGCCATGTTGAAGCAGCTGAGCATTTTCGACTTTTCTGTAAACTCTGAAACATGAACTGGTATGTTTTCTTGGAATTGGCCATGCTCCGGCGTGATGCTTTGGTTCCGGGAATCTGACACATTGCATGTACAGAACGAGGGGGGAGTTGATGGAAAGCATGTATAGAGCATAGCATTCTTTGACGTCTTCTCATGCATCATGTGTCACTCATCATTTTGCCTACGCGACTTTGTATTTGGCTCAAGCACTGCGGAAAAAGGCGTTTGCGCGTGGTGCTTGCCGTTGCTACTAAACTACCAACTTTGGCTGTGGTTGGTGAGTTTAACTAAGATCAAACAGAAAAACACAGAATCAACAATACATCGAAGCCAAAATAAAACGGTAGAACACGATGAACAAACTGGTTCCTCCATTGGGAGAGTCTGGACTCCAAAGGGCAAGAAAAGGGCACAGATCAGCACACAGATCAGCACCTAACGGCGATTTTCCACCCAAAGGACGCCACACACTGTATTCATACAGCCACATCGAGGGTTCTTCAAGAGTGCGTGCGAATACTACTAATAGCTGTTTAATAGCTTCCACATTAAGCTATGCTAACGCTACTAGCAGCTTTTGCTAGAGCTTGGGCAGCTTCCTACCTACTTTGCATATACATTGCCTGCACTTTGCCTTAGAATCCACCCTTTTTACCAGGGTCTTCAAGGCAACGGAAATTTATTTTTCCTGAGATGTATCTTTCTATAAAATTGACTTGTATTTGCGGTGTGTTGAAATTTCTAGCTTTTGGATCCACGCTTTTGATGTCTGGACATCTTGGATCTTGGATTCAGATCTTGAGTGATTGCAATTGACTGCCATCATGGTTGCGCTCCGAAAGCTCTGAGTACCCCAATCCCAATGTTTCAAGATGTTGTAGAAACTTTGAGGAGCTAAGAACCAAGAATGCACAGGAAACTTGGACACAATAAGAGCGATGGCCGTAGGATGGCCTCCAACCTAATAGCGATGGCCTAATCTAACAGTTTTCAGTTCCCAGTTGTTCAACATATGAATATGTTAAACTTATTGAGGCCCACACGGTTCAATGCCAGGTAAGCAGAAGTGACTCAAGATTCAGTGTCAAGAACTGTGCCATTTCGTTTAGTTGTGTCATCCAATGGTAAATCCTTTGACTTCGGTTTAGGTACATCTTTTCTTGGCTGCCTCTATGACATTAACTTGCCTTGCAAAGTGTGAAGTTCTTTTTTACTTACAAAGTTTTCACGAAAAAGCTCCTAGTAGCTTCTTTGCTCCTAGCAGTAAGGCCAGGAGCCCCTAGTAGTGTCCTTGCTCCCAGTAGCGATGCCCTTTGCGTCCTCTAGCGCAAAGTTCTTTTCCTGGGCCAATTTCTTCAAATTGTATCGCGTTTGTTTGCAAGAGTGTTTAAATTCGCTCGTGCAGAGGAAGGATTCGCCTAAGAAGACAAACCACTACTTTGGCAAAGTGTGTTTCCCTGAAGTTTGCACTTTGTTTTCATACTAAGATATCAACCATGCATGTTATAGGGTACAATAATACAACAATGCATTCCGTCAGAAAATTGAGCCTTATCCTGCGGAAATTCACTTCGACATCAACTTGATTGAACCGATGCACGGTCAGGGTGTTTTGAGACGAGGAAAAGGAAGGGGTGACACAAGCTTTTGTGCGTTTTTTGTTCTTTTAAACCTTTTGCTGACTCATTTGCTGCAGAGCGAAACACAGTTGCGTTAGACAATTCCTTACATATTACCCCCTCGAAAGCTCACCCTCAAACCATTTTATTGATATTGAGCGTGTTTCTGTTGATGATTGATTAAGGCATCTACCTGGAACCAAGAACCAAGACAAACGCATTCGGTCAAAAGGACACTGCGGGAACAATTGCAAGGTCGACTCAGCCCCAAACAAGGGACATGTTTGGTTTCAGCCTTGATATGTGATTTTTTGTTTTCCTGGTGTTTTTTGGGTTTAGTCTTCCAACAATTCAAAAGGACACAAGATGTTTCTTTGGTTTTCCAGGTAGACTATACAATCTCCAATCACAAATAGACCTTGTGTTGTTTGCATTTTTGCTTTCATGCCTCCGAAAGAACCATTATGTTCTTTTGTTTTTGGTGATTGCAGAGTGCACAGTTTATCTCGGAACATTACTTTTGCCTTTGGAAGAATGACACCTACGGAAAAAAAACATGGAACGCAATGTGTCTTTTGATTAGATGTGTTAATTGAAGTGACATTTTTTGCAACCGCATACGGATTTGCAAGAGCATGATTGGGCAGCCACTCCACTTTTTGACATGAACATATTTTTTACACCTGAAATGCTTCCCTCTCCCCTACCTCGACAAGACAAAATGAAGACGTCTATTCTGAGCCCAAGTCTTTTTCATCGAGCTGGTTTGTCTTTCAAACAAGGCCTCATTCCTCGTGAGTCTTTTCTGTGTTGCAAGAGCCCCATCCTGTATCCACATCGCATCTTGACAAAAGTTTTTCCCTTGCACGAGGCATGTTCGGTTCTTTTGGGCATGTGATCCTTTGTGGATGTTTCTTTTGATGAGGGCCTCATTCCGTATGAGCATATCTCCCTGACACATGTTCCTTCATTCTAGCATGCAATTGCAGTCATTCTTGCTCCCTGCAGAGGTTGAAATAACCTTGCTAAAAGACACCTGAGAATAATTAAGAGAGACCTTTGTGGATCAAGGTTCATTGGTCAAAGTCTTTCGAGCAGAAAGTACATGCTTTGAATATGTAGAACTTTTGAGGTATACGTATATACTTCAAGAAACAAGGAGGGCAAACAGTGAGCAAAATGTGTCAAAGGTTGGTTCTTGGAGGGGACAGCAAAAATGCACATGACATGTAGTGACTTTGTGGAGGTCTCTTCCAAAACTCACCCAAACTCTCAAAAGGTAGGTTTTGTTGTATACATTGAATCAACACACACACTGTATGCTTGTTTATAGACAAATTGATGTTTTTCATTGATGCCTTTGTGAGGTGCTGGGCTTTCTTGGTGTCTTTGCATTGAGTTTCTTCCTTTTCGTCGTGGTTGCATTCCAACGCCTCAATGCTGTTCGAAACCGAGCAGATTTTGGGTTTTCACTTGTTTTCGTTTGCTTCAAGCCGACCACGCCATTCTAGGTGATGACAGAATGGTGTCAGGACAGTCAACTGTGAACATGCCGGGTGCAAGGGCGAAATCATGATTTTGGTTTGCAAAGGAGCTTACTAGGAACAAGAAGCTACTAGGGGCTCCTGGCATCGCTACTAGGAGCAAGGACGCTGCTAGGGGCTCCCGGCCTTACTACTAGGAACAAGAAGCTACTAGGCGCTCTTGATGGGAAGTTGAAGACTTAGAATTATGATTTCAGTGTGTGACAAGTTGTCAGAAACTGCCACTCTATCGCCTCTCCCTCGCGCTGATCCGAAGTGGGCTCCTCAGAAGGGCCGGGATGGATCCTCAGAACATCCGGAAGATCAGGAGAGGCACTTGTTACTACTAGTAAGGCACTTGTTACTACTGATAAGATCCTGAAGACGTTCGTTTTTCCCGAAGGGTTCTCGTTTAATTAACTTTTGGAGTCTGAGGGTAGAGCATTAATTGTGTGACTTTGCTTTCGTGTTCGCAACCATTCGCAACCGTTTGCCACCGTCCGCAACCGTTTGAATGTGATCGATAAGGCCCTGAAGTGTTAGAGTTTGAAACAGCGTAGAACCGCAATGTATTGGAGTCTGGAGGTTGATTTTGCCGCGCAGGTGCAGCGTTTTGTGAAATCAGCATGTTGCGTCGCTGTGCCATTGGGATGTTTCCTTGCTAAAGCTGTGACTTTGGTAAATTTAATTCTAATTACTTTCTTCTTGTTACTAATAGGCCCTTGTTCCTAGTAGTAAGGCCAGGAGCCCATAGTAGCGTCCATTGCGATGTGTTTTTGTGCTCCGAAAGTGGCGAAATCACTCCAAACGTGTGGTGCGGACTTTGCTGAAGGAGTCTCCCACGAGAGTGTCCCACAAGAGTGTCCTACAAGAGTCCGTTTGTTTCCGAGTACGTGTGTGCTTTCGGGCTCATGGGCTCCACCTTGCTTTTTTAAGGGTCGATTTGAATAGGTGCTGGGGAAGGGATAAGAGGAAGGAGGGGTAGCGAGATAAGCTGTTGTAGTTTGAGCTACCAGAAGAGCCCTTCACACGATCAATTTTGTTTCTATATAGATGTTCAGAGGAACTCAATCTTTACAGTAGACCTTTCTTTCCTCCGTCCTCTCTGTCTTCCCCCTTTTTCCATGTATCCAAAATGCCAAGATGTGCCAAGGTGATTGGGTGCGGGCCATGTTGGCAATGGCCTTACAGACCCGTTTGCGATGCATGGCATGGATGCATGAGGGTACAGGATTGCAGGCCTTTTGAGCAACAGAAGTGGAAACAAATGGAACAGCTTCAAAGACATGTCTGAACCCACATTACATTTACTGTTCCATGTTTCATGGCAATCAACGAGCCTCATCAGTGTTTTTGAATGTGTGGCCAAATCTCAGACCTTGGAAAATATAACCATCCTGCTACATGTATGCTTTGGCCACACAGAGTTTGACAGAGAAACACTTGAAAGACCAAGGCGATACTGACACCCCAAGGGAATGACAAGAGGTCGAAGAACCCTTAAATGTAGTTGAATTTGGTTAGATAAATGTATATCAAACTAATAACAGTACAGAAACAACAACATTAAGCCCAAACAACATTTACGTCTCGCAGGTTCATTTTGGGGTGACCATGAATGCGTGCACGTGTGAGGTCTTTCTGTTCTCTCCAGCTGTGCCATTTGTGCAGGAGCCTCGGAGAGCTTTGTTTGAAGAGTCAAATCAGTCTACTGTTCCCTTGTACCTTGGGTTCTTGGCGCAATCAGGCCCGTAGTAGCGTCCTTGCTCCTAGTAGCGATGCCCTTTGCTCCTAGTAGCGTTCTTGCTCCTAGTAGTACGGCCAGGAGCCCCTAGTAGCGTCCTTGCTCCTAGCTACTCCCAATTCCCAATCATGTTAAGAAAAAGGGCTGGCTGTCTCTTGTCGCCACGAGCTCTCGCCTTTTCGATGCCTTGGGTCTTGTTAAGGATATGATAGAACCACTCCACCTGCATGCTATGATTTCATCATACCTTTGCCCAAAAAAGCACTTCAGGCCCAAAAAAGTAAACACCTAGTAGCGTCCTTGTTACTAGTAGTAGGGTCAGGAGCTAGTAGTAGCGTCCTTTTTCCTGGTAGTGAGGCCCTTTGTTACTAGTAGCGTCCTCTTGCAACATCTTCTTGATGCAGATCAGGGGACAGTCAGGGACAGTCAACTCTCGGTGCCCTGATTCTTTTCTTGACATCATTCCTGAACGCCAAGCTCGGGTGTTGATGTTTCAGAAAGGACATTGGAAGGACAAAGCATTAATTCACCGGGCGCAGTTGGTTGACGATAAAAACATTGAGAAGACATCTTGATAGGAGAACACACTCTGCCATTCATGTGGTTCCGAGATTTTTGAGGAACAAGGATGCTCAGTTCAATGCCAAGCTTGATTAGAAGATGCAGAACCAGATCGAACAGTTTCAGTCACGCAGAGTTCCAGTTCCCGCAGCAATGGTGGGAAAACAAGACTTGAAGGGATCATTTCAGTGCCCTGCCCGCTGATTGGCATGAGTCTGCTGTGACTAGAGCCTCGCAGTAAGGTACCCGCAGGTACAACCTAAACGCAATGGCCTCCAACCTACTAGCGATGGCCTCCAACCCATTTGCAACGTTGCTATCCTCTTTCAAGGGCACCTCTTGAAGATTCGTTGAATGGGAGAAAGATTGACGAGGAAGACTGTGAGTGAACACAGTTGGGCAAGCTCAACTCTTCCTCCCCATCCCGCGCGTGGCCATAGCAAAGGACGCTACGAACGGAACAAAGGGTATCGCTACGAATGAAGCGATCGGACACTACTAGGGGCTCTTGGCCTTACTACTAGGAGCAAGAAGCTACTAGGAACAAAGGGTTACAATGGCACTCTTGAGATTTGGCCCTACAGCCACCCAGCACGAGCAACACAACCTATTTGTGATTACAGTTAATGACAAGACCAATGATCCGCCCCGGCCCTGAAAAGGAGGACGGTTGAAGCCGCAACGAATGCATGAGCAAACACAGACATTTACTGTATTCGAGCAAGACAGCAAGACTTCATATCGGATGTGGTTGTGAGTGTGCTTTCACTGCACCTCCAGACACTACGGTTTGGCCACCATTTGGTTTTAGACCTTTTGCTTGAGACGTTGATACTAGTAGCGATGCCCTTGCTCCTAGTAGCTTCTTGTTCCTAGTAGTACGGCCAGGAGCCCCTAGTAGCTTCTTTTTATTTTTCTTTCTTGTAGACCTTTGTTTCCTAGTTTTGTCTTGTGAGAGTTGCAATGTGCTGCCTTTTTCCGGCGGCTTGCCGGTGGCGGCCGGATTGGGAATTTGTTTTCAAAGACGGTGCATAGCCTTTAGCTATGAATTTGGGAAGTAGGATTCCATCAGCTGTTCTGCCGCAACGCCTTGCTACGCCCTTCTTTACCATTATTCTTTGCCCAGGCTAATCCTATCCTTCGTGAACCAACGAGTACGTAGACTCAGACATTTAGGTGCACCCAAGGCGAGACGAAGTTGCGCCATGTCAGACTAGGAACAAGGACGCTACTAGGGGCTCCCGGCCGTACTACTAGGAGCAAATAGCTAGTAGGAACAAGAAGCTACAATTTATATTTTTGTTTTCCATGTGAAGGCAGCCGGATCCGGAGCCTTGCAGAAAGCTAAGACATGGCACGGAGAATGAACAAGATCAGATGGGAGTAATTAGAATTCTAATTAAATTCTTATTGTTCCTACTAGCTTCTTGTTACTACTAGTAAGGCACCTGTTACTACTAGCGTGGCACTTGTTACTACTAGCTTCTTGTTCCTAGTAGTAAGGCACTTGTTACTAGAAGCGTGGCACTTGTTGCTCAGGGACTCAGTGCCGGAAGACGGAGCGTCCAGAGAAGAGGAACTCGGTTTCGGGGCACTAGGGTGGAGGCCATCACTCTTAGGTTGGAGCATCGCTACTAGGGTGGAGGATTTTGTTTCTTAATTCAATCGAGTTTGATCAAAGAGCCGCACAGGCCAACGATGATGAGGAGTGGACCTGCTTCACAAAACGAGTTGCGACGCAGGCGTTGTTTGCACTTTCGAACTGGATTGTGTTCCAATGTTCATGTTTGGCCACAGAATCCCTTGTGTGATGGAGCAGGTTGATACAATGCGAGCCGATTGGAATTGGATTTCCATTTTGCTCAAGGTATACGTCTTTGGTGCATCCCCAAGGGTGTTGTTTCTTGCGAAAGCAAGGCCTATGGTCGCCACTAGTAACTAGTAGCTTCCTCTTGCTCCGTTCGTAGCGATGCGATTCTTGCTCCTAGTAGCGATGCCAGGAGCCACTAGTAGCTTCCTTTTGCTCCTATCCGAGACTCTCCGGTCCTAGGTCTCTTGATGCTCTTGTATACTACGTTCCCCATCATGCTCAACATTTTTCTCGCCTGGTTGGTGCCCCAGAGTCTACTGCTTTGGAAACGAAGATGGCTGCATGTCTGTCGGTGCAACACCAACACCATATCTTTTTTGCAGTTCGCGTGCAAGTCTATTGATTTGTCTTCCAAGCTTCATGTGAGTCATGTGCTATGTCCTGTGCTGCTCAATGCAATCAGCAGGGATTGAGGCTGGCAGATTTCATCCAAGGCTGAGTGCGGCAATGTCCGGCTGGGACTTTGGCGTCGTTTGTGCTGGTATCGTCGGTGCAGGAGATTTTGCGTTTTCCAGAAGCTTTGACCCTTTCGAAAAGAGTAAGAAGCTATTAAAAACAATAAGCTACTAGGAACAAGTGACTTACTAGTAGTAACAGGTGCCTTACTACTAGTAACAAGAAGCTATTTAAAACGTTCAACACCAATTCGACTGAAAAAGAACGTAGAGATGACCTGAGCTATCATTGGCCTTCAGGGTTGTGTTGCTTCCTTCTACCGCCAGTGAAGAGCTCAGAACAAGTTTCGCTGCCTTTTTCCTGAGAATTTTGTTTGCCGCCTTGAGCATGTTGATCACAGGACTTGCTGAGCCTGTCGGCTATTTCAAACACATCAAGGCATTGTCGGCACATTTTGAGGTTCCTGGTGTCCCAGTCTACATTTTCGCTGGTATCATCATCGCGGACAACTGTCCTTGGGGCTTGGAGCACAGATCAAATCGGGAGCAAAGCTGTGTACTACCTAAAACCCAGTCTGATAGCGCTGAGAGTAGTAACAAGAAGCTAGTAGAAACAAGTGCCACGCTAGTAGTAACAAGTGCCACGCTAGTAGTAACAAGTGCCTTACTAGTAGTAACAAGTGCCTTACTAGTAGTAACAAGAAGCTATTAGAATTAAACTTAACTTTAAATTAAATTAGCTTTTTGTTACTAGTAGTAAGGCACTTGTTACTACTAGCGTGGCACTTGTTACTAATAGTAACAAGAAGCTATTTATGAGCTCAGCATGACCTGATGCTTCAGCGATCCTCTCACCTTTCCTCTCCTCGCTTCTTATCATCGACCATTTTCATTCAAATTTATTACTTCCTTTGTTATCTCTTTTCGTTTCTCCTCTTTGCTTTCTCTTCCTCCTTCTCTCTTCTTTCTTCTGCTTTCCCTTGCTTGCCCTTCAAAAACTGCTTTCTCCTTTTCCTCTTCATTATCTCTCTATCTCTCAAGTCATCTCTATACTGGGGTTGGCTTGTCAAAGGTCGTTTCTCTTAGAGTTATTTTTTTACCGAGCTGTCATAGTCGCGCCACGTTGCTTCGAGCCAGCCGCACTGTTCCTAGTAAGAGACCCCTAGTAGCGTCCTTCCTCCTAGTAGCGATGCCCTTTGCTCCTAGTAGCTACTTGCTCCTAGTAGTACGGCCAGGAGCCCCTAGTAGCGTCCTTGTTCCTAGCAAGGGATGTTATCTTGGGGTCTCTTTCTGTTCACCCTTCAGAAAGAGCCTTTTGCATCTTCTTGTGAGATCCTCTTGATCTTTGCTTGGACACTGTCATGGGCTGACTGACTGACTTGTTGACTTGCTTTCGATTTCGCACTTGTCTACCATACAAGATGATGTGACAGCAGCCTTTTCTTCCTATATGTATTCCTCCTTTCCTTCTTACTTCCATTCTTCTTGTTCTACCAAGACAATTCTCCTAAACATTTGGATCCCATGTCTCTGGCCTGCCTCCTTGCATGGAGTAGCTTCCTTTTATCTCAGCTTCTCACTTAACTGCTTGTTTCCTCCTACCTACTACCCCCCCAAGATTTCACGGCCTACTCCGAACCCCCAAAAAGATGACATGACCCTCTCATTCATTTAATGATGTTGTCTTGGGGAAGATTTTGCTCGAGTATCCCCTTTCGTGAATGTGGCATCGTATCCTTGAGCCATTCCTGCTTGCCTTGACTAGCCCGAACTATCACCATCACTCGGGCCTGGCCGAGTGGATCCTTTTTGGCCTCATCTGCTTTGCAGCTGGCACTGCGTTCGGATCCTTCACAACAGCACTGTTGTGCTCGCCGCGCCTTAGACAAGTCTTGATCAGGGTTCTGGTGGAAGGTGTCGACCAGGTCGATCGCCCAGTGCTGGTGAGAGAAGACAGGCTAGCTGGCTACAGGCACAGAGACTAGATCCAACCGACCTGCTATCTGGCTCAGTTGGCTGTTGTTTGTTTGGCTAGTCCTAGCTGCGCAGGAGAGCCCTGAGGCTACCTAAGGCATTGCAGGAGACGGGTCTTGCACTTTTTTAGGCTAGATGAGTTCCCGGGTGGCAGCCTTGTCCAACCGGAAGCTGAAGTCTCTTAAGACTGCAAGCAGCGGTGCCGACTTTGAATGGTGCATGCTAGACCTCGCAGATCGCCAATCTGTGGCAATTCCTGTCCTCAAGAGAAAGGGTGGGGTGCTACTGGCTTTGCCACAGGAGAGCTTTTCACTCGAGGAGTTGGAAGCTGGAGAGGTGGAGGCGCAGCTGCCAGACCTAGGTCCTTTCTTTTTCAAAGATGTGCTTGTAGAGGACGGGGAAGGCCAGACAACCACCCCGGTGGTGTACCTCGACTTTCAGGACTCCGCCTTCGGCAAAGTCAAAGTCATGGGCCGCAAGCCCCAATGGCCCAGTGGCGTCGTCTACTTCCTGGTGGGCGACGACACTGCGCTACCGGATGTCGAGGATTTAGTTGCAGGTGCACGAGAATGGATTGGAGAAGGCGATGCACGAGCTTCGGACCAGTGTGTATCTGCCTTCGAAGGCCCACCCCTACCTCCTCAAGGGGTCACTCCTCCTGTCTTGGACGCCGTGCTCTCTCAGCTACAGAACCTAGCAGAAGCAGTTTCGGGCCTCCAGGCCGACATGGGGCAGGTCAAGCAGCAGGCAGCTTCTTCAGGAGCTCACGTCCCAGAACCTGCAGCTCTGGACCGGGTATCTCGACTTGCGGGCCGCCCACCGACTACCAAAGCCACTCCTACCGGAACTGGCCTGTTGGCTCGCGCCGAGGAGGTGTTAGCCAGCGAAGGGGCGGTGGAGGAGGACGAAGAGCCTGGCCTGCACATGGACACCGATCAGTTGTTGCGCCTGGCGCTTGTGAAAATGGTGACCAAGACGTCGAAATCCAGTCGGAGGCGCAAAGTAGGCCTAGGGCTGGAGGAAAGCAGCGGTTCAGAGGCAGAAGAAGATCCCTTGCGCAAACTCAGTGGCGCAAAGGGCACCTTGCTTCAGGAGAAGCTGAAACTGGCAATGCAGTCGCACCCCGCAGACTACATCCAGACAGTCGAGACTCTTGCGGCCTCTGCTTTGGGCTTGTCGACAGTGGGAGAGGACACCATGGAGCGCTATGTGCGCGAAGAGTTGCCAGTGGGCAGCGACCGCAACATGGGTCATTGCCTCTGGGTCATGCTCAAAGCCATAAACCTGTTGAAAGCCAAACAGGTGGATGCGGCTCACCTCCTCCTGCTCCTCGGCTTAGCGTCCTACGAGCAGTTCAGATTGGACCAGAATTGGCAGGCAGCTTGGCGAATCACACAGCTCCCACTCCCTCCGTTCCAGGAATGGAAAGTGAGAGAAGGCAGTCTGAGCCAACTGCGTCAAGACCATGCGCACAGCCGTCTGATCCACACCACATGGTCGGCGGCCATTACGGCCAGGCTGAAGGACGAAGAAGTTTTGATTCGCCGCAGGGGCCAGTACCGCACTCCGGGCGGTCAGAAAGGAAAGGGCCGAGGCAAGAATTCCGAGGCCGAGGAAACTCAGCAGTAACGGGTCAGAGCTTTGACGGCTGGCCTGCTTTTTTGCTTCGTACAGTTTTGCACAGTAGAACACCATTTTCTAGATTTCTCAGAGCTGGTTTGGCCTTGCAGGGTCCTGGTTGTACCGGAACCGCGGAGCTTTTCCCGATACCTGCTCCCTTTGAATGGAGCCCGATTGCTGATTTTGGCCAGTCACGACGCAAGCGCATGCGGTGGCGGCGACGACGGTTCATAGAACTCTTGGTTAACCTTCAGGTCGCATCCCTTAATTTTCTGAATGGCCGGGGCGGGGAGTGGGCTTTTGGCATCCCCCTGAACCTTCAGCAGTCTAATGTGGTTGACAACCTTGTTTTGCGGGCACGCTCACTCAGCCGCCTTGGGAGAGATGATTTCCTGGGGTGCGGCTCGAAGGTCGCAACTGCGGCCACCGAATTAGACGCTTTGCAAGTTTTGTTTTCTGACGCGGAGGACTTGCCTTACGGGGTTTCCAGTTTTGTTTCCACCAAGCGAGAGGACAGTGTGGCTGCAGTAGTTGAACCTCTAGTAGCTAGTAAGGTAGCGTTTCCTTCCACCCTCCAGGGTTTTGACCCTCTTCCATATCTTGGGGAAACTAGTAAGCTGGCTTACCATCACCCGTCAAGTCTTTTGGGGTGGAAGGAGGAGCTGTCGACTAAGATGATGTCACCCGACGCGGTGTCAAAGGAGACACGTCGTGAGTTGCATCTCCTGGGTCGGCGCTGGGATGACGTTGATCGCTTGACTCTGGCTTTGTTCTCGGAAATTGATGTTAGGGATAGGTGCAATTTGTTTTGCATAGCGAAACCTGACGGTGAACTCCGACAGATCATAGACCGCCGTCCTCGTAATGCGCGTGAACTACCCCCGCCACGTGATGGTGCCAAAATGGGTCACCCCTCAAGTTTCTTGGGCATCATTATCCCGGAAGGGTACGACTTGGTTGGGAGTCTAGATGACCTAAGAAATTTTTACCATGAGTTTGTTGTTAGCTCGGACCGCGCTTTTAGCACTCCTGTTGGCCCGTTTTGGTCTTTAAATCAATGGCAGGGCACCAAAGCTTGCAATAGACTTAAGGAGAGATACCCAGCACGCACACTGAAGGGCGACACCCCGGTACTCATGTGTTTTCAAGGTTTGTCTATGGGTGATCATTGGGCCCCAACCATTGCTCAAGAATCGCATGAGAACTTGTTGAGTCACTTTGATGCTTTACGCCCTGAGGAACACATCCGATTTGGCCAGCTTTTCCCCCGAGCCCCTTTGGGTCACGTTAGTGGGGTTTGTGTTGATGACAAGGTCAATATTCAACTGGTCCCCGCTGGCAAGTCGGATGTGTTCCTTAGGGATTCAGAGGCCTGTGAAGCGGGGGACAGAGCCTATAGTGCTGCTGGGCTCACTTTTCATCCCCGAAAGCGGATTCGGGCAGAGATCCAAGGAAAGGAAGGGCTGCTGGGGGCAAAGCGCTCTCGCCTGTGCTCACTCGCGTTTGCAAGTGGTTTGGCAGCCAAATCGCCTGCTTTAACTAGACGTGTGGTTGAGGTGCTGTTGGGGCGCTGGGCATTTTGTTTTCAATTTCGGAGACCTTTGTTTTCCATTATCCACGACCTGTACCATGTTGGGTCCCCGGATGGTAAACATGATACGCCATTTAGTCCCCCTCATACAGTTCGGCAGGAGCTGCTTTTGCTTTCAATTTTGGGGCCTACGGCCCTTGCTCAGCTCAGATGTCCAGTGTGCCCAACCCTTTTCGGGTCAGACGCCTCGCCAGAGGGTGCTGGGGTGGTCAAATGTAGGGTTGGCAGCCAAACAGCCCAGGAACTCTTCAGGCGTTCTGACCCTAGAGGCTTTCACACTAGAGTGTTGCCTAAAATTGCTGCGTATCTGCATGAACAAGGATTGCCTGTGCCGGGCCATTTGGTTTCCAACGATTTTGATGATGTAAAAAACAGTGTCTCCCCATCAGCCACCCTTTTTGAAGAAAGCCCTCCACTGGACACGCCGTTGTTCAGCGCCACGCAGTGCAAAACAGTGTGGACTCGGAACCAAGAGGTTCTTTCAGAGGCTCATAAACTGTGGTCGCGGATCAGAAGCCCAGTCGAGTTGCAAGGGGCTCCAGACATGATGAAACAAAGAGAGTTGTCAGACTCGGGGTCACCATCAAAAACTTTGGGGGTGCGATTTGACTTCCTTGAAATTTCAGTGGGCTGCGGTCGCATGTCTAAAGCTTTCGCAGACAAGGGTATGGTCGTAGCCCCCCCCCATCGAATTCAAGCAAGGGATGAATATGTCCAATTCGAGCTTGTTCCATCTGATATTGGCCCTGAGCGTAGCTCAAAGAATATCAATCCTTTGGTTGCACCCCCCTTGTGCCACCTTCTCAGTGATCCGCAATCCCCAAATTAGGAGCGTTGAGGAACCCTTGGGCTTTGACCTCTTGAACATCGATACTCTAACAGGGAACTTTCATATGCACCTGGCTCTGGCTCTTTGGCTGGCTCAGTTATCCCAGGGGCGGCTTGCCTTGTTAAAAATTCCATGGGGGGCGTTCGCGCGACACTTGCCGTGGTGGCAACACATGATATCCTTAGGAGGAGTAGTGGCTAGACTGGACCAATGTCAGTTTGAATCCCCATATCAGCTGAGTGCTGGGATCCTGGGTAGTCATCCTGCCCTTGAAAAGTTGACCAGGAGATGCTGTGGGGGTCATGCTCATGATAAAGTGCCAGATGATAAGATACGCCGGCAAACTGTCTATCCTGCAAAGATTTGTGATTTTGTTGCCGCAGTGGTGAGTGATGTGTTGCGATTGCTTCATGGCCGAGCCTATGCGCAACGGAGCTGTAAAGATCATAGCTGGCCCGAAGAGCCCCTTAAGGACCCAAAAACTTTAGGGCGTTTTGTGAGCCACCTTTGGTCCACCCACCTTTCGGAATCTTTACCCTGGAAAGTGCTTCGGAAGTACAGGTTCAAGAAAACAAGTCACATAAATCTTTTGGAAGTCCATGCTAGAAAAAGCCTTCTTCTCAGCTTGGCTCCCAATCAAGGATTTGTTCTGTTCCAGGATTCCATGGTAGCTCTAGGTGCCGGGGCAAAAGGTCGTAGTAGCAGCGCCAGCATGAACAGGCTTCTTCAACAGGAGATGACAATTTTGGTTGCAAAAGATTTGTACCCTGGTGGCATTCACACCCCAACATGGGCATTACGGGCCGATGACCCATCCCGGGGGAGGAAGGTTCGGTCTCCTAGGGTTTGTTTACCAAAGTGGTTGCATGCCATGTGGCAGAACAGAGTTTCTGAGGCCCAAGATCTCCTCGATCAAGCCTCTCAAAATGCTAGGTCATTGGGGCGATGGCTCTTGTTTGTATCGGCTGCTCGTCTTTCTGTCTCTGGCGGTTATGCCTCAATTGGCAGTTGGGCCGCGGCCCTCCGCACAAGCGAGGGATCGGGCAGACCTGCAAAGGGGAAGAGTGACAGGTGCTACGGCCACATTGCGATCCAGACTGCTGGAAGAGTTCCAACAGTGGGCTCTGACCCAGGACAACTCATGGACAGACATGAGACATCTAGCACGCAGCAGTCCCATTACCATTGCCGATCTATTGGAGGAATTTGGAAGGACGATGTACGAGCAGGGAAGCAGCCGCCGCAACTATGCAGAAACGATCAATGCTGTAGTTCAGGCTTTTCCTTTTCTGCGCCCGGTCATGAATGGACCTTGGCAGTTGGCGACCACATGGGAGACCATACACCCATCTGCTGTGCATCCTCCAATTCCACAACCTCTGATGATGGCTATGGTCGCAGTGGCATTGGCGTGGAAGTGGTTTCGAATGGCTTTGCTGATCTTAACAGGCTTTTATGCTTTGCTGAGACCTGCCGAAATGTTTTTGCTGAAGCCCGAGCACTTCAGCCACAGCTCAGAGACTGGCAACGCAGGCGTCTGCATCATCCGTTTGCTGCAGACGAAAAGTCGCACCCGGGGTGCGAAGCACCAAAGCGTCAGACTCGACGAGCCATTCGTGATTGCTTTCTTAGAAAAATGTTTTCGACACATGCACAAATCCGAGCCAATTTGGCCCTTCTCGGCAAGCCTCTTTCGAACTAGATTTGACCAGTTACTATTTGGTGTATGTCAAAAGAATAAGCTAGTTCTCCCTTCAAGCCTAAGGCCTGGAGGGGCTACATTTCTTTTCCAACTATGGAATGAGAATATTCCCAAGTTGCAATGGAGAGGCCGGTGGCTCCATTTGAAAACAATGTTGCACTACGTTCAAGAATTAGGTAGCATCAACGTCTTGAAGGCATTAACGTCATCCCAGAAATCTCGTACTTTTGAGCTGGCGCAACTTTGCCCGGCTTGTTTGCAGGAGGTAGTGGTGGCACCCGACGTTCACTCTTTAAAGTTCAGTCTCCTGGCTAGCCTTGCTGATCCCCAGGACGCCCCCCCGGGCCCCCCCGGGTCCTGAAGATGGTAAGTTCCTGGCAGTGCTTTTCAAGTGGCTTCAATTTCAGCCATGCGGAG